GACGGTGAGATGTTGATGAGCAGGAAGAGAGGAGGATGGGGGGGGGGGGGGGGGGTTTGTCTTAAAAAAATTAAATAAAAAAGCGTTTGGGAAAAATAACAAAATCAAAAATAAAAAGAGGGTAGTCTCAACCCAGGATGAGACTGGACTTGCCACCAGGAGGGTTTTTTCGGCCCCCTGCAGCAGCATTGGCACCTCCCGATGGGGCGGGGGCTTGTGACGTCTCCTTCTGCTCCTCCTCCTCTACACCGTCAGGAAATTCTACAACTGAGATAACGACAACAAATCACTCCGGTGTGGCTGAGATGTCACCACATCCGAGCACAGCATCCTAACTTTATCACAGCTGACGCTTTTGTAAATACGTTTTGTTGACGTCTTACACAATTGTTTCCCTACAGTTACCCAAGGAGGGTGCCCCCGCCCTGTCAACAGAACCGAGCGCCCTGCCTACAGACATTTTTACTACACAGCATTTGTACTTTAACGTTCTGTACAATTTGACAACCAGTTTATAAGATCCATCCATCAGGACTAAAAGGTCTAAAATTCATCCCGCTCCAACAACACCATAGTCCAACTAAATTTTCCTTTACATAAACTTTTCTTTAAAATATACGTCTATAAAAGTAACAACTGTATGTCTAACCCTGCTGTTTCACAAAAAGTATGACTTTTCTGTGAAATTATTTTACACAAAACGCTGATGTGAGCTTCAGCTAAAGGAAAGTCCAGTCTCCTCTGAACTTGGACTAAAGTCTGAAGTTTTTGCAGTAAATATCAGATAGAGGAGCTTCTATGCAGAATCAGAGCTAAAGCAACATTAGTGCCTGAAGTGCTGCTGCTTCAACACACTGAAGAAGACTTTTTAAAATAAAATATAAATAAACATGTTCCTATTTTTCTTAAAAATATTTTTACAGGCAGAAGTAGCACACAGCTGGGCAGCAGAAGGAGCAGCAAAACATCTGTGACAACTGTCTTGATTTCAAGTTAATAAGGCTGGGGTCACACAAATCAGGACTGCACAGCTTTGTGAAAGTGGACCCAGATGTTCAGATATGTGCAATCTAACTGCGTGCACAAAAACACTCCTGACGTTTAACGACCGTCTACTGCTGGCTGAACTTCTGGTTGTGAGAAAGGTTTGCTTACAGGAAACATTTAAAGCAGCCATTTTAAAGTCATGGTTTGTTAATAAACAGAAGTTCAGTTTTTGTTATCGTATAAACTTGAAAGTATTAAGTAGAACAAAAAGTGAGCTTCAATACTCCCACTGAGCGATGCAGCAGACGCTCCTATCATTGTTGGAGCCAGCCGCTCTGTCACAAACCCCCACCTGGAGGTTAATAAAAAGCTTTTCATACTAAGCAAAGCCTGCCATTAAAGCACAGCTGCTTGACTCCAGATCACCTCCCTCATCATGACAGGGAAAAGCCACATCAAAGAGAACACGTGTTGTTGACTTTGAAAAGGAGAACACATGTACTGTATGTTTAAAGAAAAAATGCCAGCAGAGACGACTCACAACAATCAGATATTTGCAAACGGTGAAATGACCTGATCTGTTGTAGAACCGTTCACTGAGTCACACTGCTGTTTAAACACAAGTCACAGTGTGGCAGATACTTAAAGCCTTTTATTAAAACAGCTGAAGAGCTCAGGAAGACTCACCATCGTTTGTTTGTTCTTGGCCATCCTCATCCTGAAATGTAACCACGAGACAAGAACATCAGCTTGAAACATTCACTAAAGTGAAAAAAAAACAAGCTAAAAAGCAAAAAATAATCCAGAAACAAACATTATTCAGAAGGGAAATGGTTTTGTGGCATTCAGATACAAGAGTAAGCTTTTGAACCCGTCTTTCGGTTCTTTTCTCCTGCGTTTTCTAATAAATGCTTTTATTTCACTGCATCTTTAATAAAACTGCTCTTTAACTAAACTTTTTTTTTAAGTCGGACAAAGAAAACTCGGTAAAAACCAACACTCCCTGGGGATTATAAAGATTAGTGAATATTCTAAAAAAAAATACCTGGATTAGTTTCAAATAGATGAACTGAATTTTCCACAGAACTGTCTGGAAATACACTTAATCTTTGACTGTGTGCTTTTTAGGCTTAACCAGGCTGCAGCTCTGTTATGGAAACAATAAATCAGATGTCAGGTACCTCTCGTCTCTGGTTCCAGATCATGGCGGCCCCAGAGTTGTGGATGGTGGTCAGTTCGGGCTGAGGGTTCTTGGGAAAAAGGAGAGGCTGCTGGCACCTCCTCAGTGGGGCTGACGGCTCCCCACACAGAGTTCCTGCGGCTGCACCAGCTGGATGATTAAAAAAAAAAAACGCTTTAAAAGCACGCAGACATTATTCATTTACAATAACAGACACTTTTTCTTTTATTGAAGAGAAAAAAAGAGGGTAAGTGTTCACAGTGATATGATACAGGAAGCACTGATGACAAAACATGAATAAGACTTCAGTGCAGCCGACATACTGCATGAACACTAATCCACTAAGTGACAAAGAGAAAACCAGACCTCTCTGAGTCATGAGGCAACCACGTTCACAAAAAGACTGATCTACTCAGATTTGACAAAACATCAGCTTTATGAGGCCACCAAACTGAAATAATGCATGCCAAAAACACTGGGAACCAAAAGGAAACATCACAAAATCCGCTTGAGCGGCTGCAACAGACCCAAAAAACGTGGTGGAACACTTCCAGTCAGACGGCCCGACTGCCAAAACTCAAAAACCCTGCAGCGCCTGAAATCTCCTTCAGCAGGACGAGCATTAAAATCCTGCACTGGCCAGCTACGAGGAGGAGACGGGCTAAGCTTACTCAAAGCCACATAAGGTAACCAAGGGTCGTGGAGGTGATGAGAAGTCTACATCGTGTAGGGAAACAACGGCAGCTGAAGTCGCAGAGAAGACGCCGCTGTCGGTAATGGAGGGACGTGATTCAGCTCCGAGTGGATCCCTCAACAAGAGCTCCCTTCATTATCGGCTCGATATTTCTGAGTCTAATCAGTTTACTGCCCGCTGAACGACAAATATGAGCGCAGAGGGGATTAAACCAGATTGATGGACCACATAGAGATGCTTCATGTTATCATCAGCACGAAACATAGCCTTCTACTTAACTTTATGGATCTCATGGGTCCAAGGCATAGATGTCTGACAGCAGCGAGACAGGAAAAGCATTTGTTTGGCTGCTGGTAGTTATAGCTTCCTCTCCTGTTAGAAAGTGCTCATCATGTGGCCAGAAGCTAAGGGCTCTTAGACACACCAATAAAACCCTGAACAACTTACCAAAGAGTCTGACTGAATATAAATATGCTTTTGGATCCGATTAAAAATGTTACCAGTACATTTGCACAATCAAAAGCCAACCTTTCTCTGGATTTTTTTTTTTTAATCTAGCCAATAATGCCAAGTTATAATTTGTACGTTATCGTTAACAATTATCCTTAGCAAGCGCAAAACATTTGGCAAAAGTAGTGTTTTATTTCTCTGTTAAAAATATTTTTCTGCCTCAACAAACATTGTAATGTTTGCTGCTTTTCCCTAACCAACATTTTAAAAAAGTGACGTTACATGTGAAGTCTTTAGGTTTACACATCACATGTGGGTATTTTGTCATTGCATCTGTTTATGTAAAAGGAATGGGTAACAACTGCGGGTGTTATTGACATCTTGAAGTGGCATCTCGAGTTCTAGTGGAAAAATTTAACCACCACTCTGTGTGACTTCAAAATAAATGTTGAGGGGAGATTCTGCCAATGTCTTACAGATGTTATTACTTTTTTCTACACCCAGTTTAGAGACATGGGAACCATTTTGAGGAAATTGAGCAAATTTACTTACAAACGCTAAATTATTTAATTCAAGGATAAAATGTACTTGTGTTATAACACTTAAGTAGTAGACCAAGTGCAACATGCTTCCAGGTTGTTTAAGACATTCTGTGCAAATATAATACATTTTGGCTAACTTATAAGGAATCTAAACAGCGCTGCTTGGCAGAGAAACGGAAGTTCACACAAAGGCCTTACAGAGAGCACAACCCTCGTAAACCAAGACATAGACTGTGATAATTCAACTATAAAATAACATTCCTGTTCAGTTGTGTAAACTAAAGTGGGCCAAGTCTGAGAATCTTCTCCAAACTTGACACAGCACCAAGGGAAACAATGTGAGCAGGAAAGGGCTTTTACTGCAATCAGCTGATGGCTAATGCAACAATTTTAGGTCAAATTCTTGTTTGTGAACACACCCAGAAAAATTTTGATGCACCATGCAATTTTTCTACAACGTGGTCAGTGTGAAAACTTGCTTTTTGGAATCTCACAAACCTGAATCTTCAACTTTTTGCACTTCATTTATTATTAAAACAATGATCTGAATAATAAAATATTCACTCCATAATCACAAACAATGAAAACAAACTGGTCTAACAAGAAGCAACGTTGGGCTGAAACTTTCCTTGGTTTAGTACAAACATTCTGGGAGGCAGTAATGTCAAATCACATTTAAGCCAGCGCGGTTGTAAATTTGCAGTGACCTTGAAATCTCAGAGCCCTTTGCCTTTTTTTTTTTTAACCCCCTTTCACAGCTGCATTTGCTCCTCTCTCCATGTCCAAGGCTGTGCATTTCACCAAGTCATTCATTTTTCCACAACCTATTCTTTCCATTGAAGTCTGATCTTCTATCACTATTTAACAAAGGCTAGTTTCAAATTACCCTTAGCCTTGCACTTCAGGGCATTTGTGGCTGTTATACATGTGGGAAACCCAGTCAGACAACCGAAATGAGAAACCCTAAATAACCCTCCAGTTTGTATCTTTTCCACACTCAAGTTAGAGGAATTAATTGCTTGATCCTTTCTGCTTACTTAAGGCTGCTGAGAGTTCTGTCTACCTTTGCAAGATTCAGCTTGCTCTGCATAGATGTCTCCCTGATTCAAATCGAAGTTGTAAATGTAGCCCTGAAAGGTTTAGATTCATGCGGCTTTGATTTGCTACATGCAAAATTAACAAGAGGCATGTCAGAGGAAGTTACCTGGTGGATTGTTCCTCCGATGAGCATGAGGGTCGTCAGGCTCTGCGAAGATGCTAGAGGCCATTTTGTTCTTGCGCTGGGGGGTTGTGTTGTCATCTGCACCAAGAGAGAAGTTGGAGTCCCCACCTGGCGGTCGTAGAACCCTTAAGAGAAAGAGAGAGGGAAAAAATAATTATTGTACTTGCTTAGTAACAACAAAATAATCAATAGTCGAATGAAACATAAAAATGTCCCCTAAATATTTGAAGGTTTCCCCCCTGCTCCACCCCAACCCTTTCATACCAAATGCCAATAGGTGCACCAGCACAGCCTCCACTGTCTAAGCTTCGCCTGTCAGTCCATCAGACAGACAGTCGCAATCTCTGCCCTGCAGCTGACTCCAGTCGCCTGTAATCACAGAGTTAGCAAGCTAGCTGCAGCCTCTATTCAGCAGAGATTCCTTTGCAGTGACACATGAAGGGGCCAGTGTGCGATTCTGGAATCAATACTGTGCTTTTGGTAAATGAATAACTCAAGATGTGATGCTTCATTTGAGTCCAATTTCATACTGAAAGGTCTGAAACCTATAGATAAAATAGAGCAGTGTTTTGGAACAATATAAAACGCATATATGCAGATGAGCGCATGAAAGAAAGCTACTTTCTAGCATCCTGATACATGCTACTTTCTAGCAGTTTATCCTTCTACCAGAAGTTTTATACAAATACCAAAAGGGAAATACTTCTAGCTTGCTGTTCTGAAGGACAGTTGGGAGGTAGATGGCAGAGCCCAGTGTGCTTTCAAAGCCCCTCCCTCTTTAGTTCCAGAAAACTCCCCTTTCAGAGTCCCCGAAGCCATCAGCTGACACACCAAGCAGCTGTTCCAATGGCCAGGGGCAGATGGGAGTCCAACAGCCAGATCTCCCCAAAATACTTCAAATAAACAACTAAAGTCACAGCAGCACAGCTCAGACTGCACCAGCATGATTTCATCCTGCAGGTTTCCATGTCCACCACAGAGCAGTGACAGTAATGCCTTAACCAGACTGTACCTTATCCAGGCCAGAGGAAGGATGAGCTCATGGTTTCCACATGGTCTATGATGGGGAACAGATTTTAGCAGATCTTAGTCTAAAATGAAACTGTAAATGACATTAAACAACAAAGTCCATGCTCAATAATCCAGGTATACAATCCAACATTTTTCAGTCAGGTCATCTGGACAGTTTCTTTTTCTCTGATGAAACCTTCTGGATCGAAGGCGAAACGTTTCAGCACAAAAAAAAGAAACTGTCCAGATGACCTGACTGAAAAATGTTGTAAATGACATTAAAAGAAAAATAGTACAAATATTTGGGAGCATGGGGGCCATCTTACAAGTAGGTAGGGCAGAGATGCAGCAACTCAACAGCCAAAAATGAGCACTGGTATGTCTGATAAGACAGGAGCCGACATGTTTAGCCTTATCTTGATACATTTGCTGCTTTGGGGGATCTCTTTGTTCAGACAGCAGCAGAAATGACCAGCAGCTGGGGAAAGGGGGCTTTAAGAACCAAAAGCAAAAAGCTAAGAAAAGATTTGCAAGCTTACAGGCCCCCACCCAAGCCCCTGCCATCGACCTCCAACTGGGTAATGACTGACCGACATTAAACAGGCTCACAGTAAAATCTGGCAAAATTGGATTTCCCAAAAATCTATTAAATCTGACAAACTTGGAGTCATGCAGGGGCAGATATTATAATATAAACCTACTCTTTCTACTGCAGATACAACTGCACCCAGGTATTCATCATTTCACAGGAAGGAAAGCACTGCATGCCCGGAGGATGCGTTTCAATAAGCAAATATAATAAATCTGCACTAAAATATAGGTTTACTAACCGTCATTACAGATTGTATCATAGATAATGCTCAAGTCTAGTCTTTCCTCTAATCAGTCTTCTATTAAACATTTTACACAAAATGCAGTCAGAAACAGTTCAATGGAAAACACCCAGCCTGTAACTTTAACCACGAGATAAGTTATTTTGTGGTCAAACTTTAAGAGGCATTAAGGGTTGTCCGTTTTTATAACATTAAAAAAAGGAGAAAAAAAAACTAATTTTGCTCAACTCGACGCCGCTTGACAAGCTAACCTAACTTAATGTAGCTAACGGGTGTGGAGCCTCCGAGACTCAATAAGATTAACTCAATTAGAGAGACACTGACAGTTTTTAGCTCAGTCCAGATATACCGCATGTACACCTCCAGCAGACTACATTAGACTGTCTTTCAACACAACCAGAAAAAAGAGGCGTTTGCTAGCTTAAAAACGCTTCCCCGCATCCTACTTCTTTTGTTCCTCCATGAAAGCTTCTCAAGCTGCCCTCATTTACCTGGAACTGCTTTTAGTACCAGGGTCTATGCCTTGAAAGTTGGTCGTCGTTGTCATCTTTTGGGAGGTATTTGAATTGTCTTGACGGTGGCGAAGAGTTGAGCTAATTAAGAGAGAGGGGGGGGGAAAGAAATGCAACTCCTATCTAGCTAGCGGAGAAAAGACGGGATATCGACTCCACCCGAAACAGAAAAAACATAACGAATACCAGATCCGTTGGTTCTGCGGTGCCAGCACGAGACCCGGCCCACCAGCAATTGGGCGGCTCTGATTGGTCAGGATAGTACAGAGCTTCGCTCTGATTGGTCAGGGCAGCACAACGTCGCTCTCTGATTGGTCAATACCTCATCGGTCAAATCTCTTGTTGGTGGCAGTGACCAGACAACCCACATCCCTGAGGCCATATTCTGCTGGCCTATTAACATTGATTACAGCAATCATTAAAACATGATAAAATATCACTTAAATTATTATGTGAATTTAAAAAAATATAAGAAATTTCTGAAAAAATAATTAATTCCAACGATAATAATAAATCAAAAATAATAAAAACAAGAACAAGTGAATATTTGGGAAAAAAAAGACAACTTTATTTTAACAGGCATTTTAATAGACAATACAGATGTGTATTTAACTGAAACATCCCTTTAGGGTTCCCAAAATTTGAAGTGAACAAGTAAAACGATTATTCTAAACATCCAGTACAATATAAAAAAGTATATAAAATGAAATATTTATTTTAGATAACAGGGATTAAATGGTAACCTAGCTGTGTCCTCAAAGCAGGTGAACTGCTCACAATGTGAGAGCCAGTTCCAAAACTGTCTATCTTGAATACAGACTTGATGAATAATTACCAAGCTTATTATTTGAAAAACAGAGTCTTGTCAATTCTTTTCACCTGCATCTTCAGAACAACCCTTCGAACTGGGATGGAAGCTCCTACGCAGCTACCACAATACAGCATGAAAGTCATAATACAAGGCTGTATGGATGTAGTTTATGCACAAAGACAGAAAAGTAACAGGGGCGTGGATGGAAAATATTATACAGCATCTTCGGTGTGGAATTCTGCTGAGACAGTTGGACGAGTTGAAATCGACCAGCCGCTGGGTGCCACCGGCTGGTGAAGTAAATGGCGGCAAGGTGTGGTGGTTTTAAATCAGGCCCCCTGTCTGTTGCTGAAACACGTCAATTGTATCCTCATCTTCCATTTCCAACTGTATGTGACAGGACGAGAGCAAAAGTCAGATGTCAGGATGTTGCATTTATGCGTCATGTGGCCTGTGGGTGACACTGTGCTTCAAACAAAATGCATCTTTTTGGTTTGCGGACAACAAAAAGGCAATGCTGCCTTCAAAACAGCACACTGCATTTGTAATGATAGGCTTGCCTAGCTCTGAAAAAAAAATACAATAACAGGTTGTGACCATTTCAACGTAAAACCGCAGCGAGTGTAACTGGCATCTGTCTGGGGAGACATTCAGCTCCAACGCACCAATTAAGATTAAGTTTCATGCATTCCTGCAGCCTGAAGCACTACAAGCTCTGAAAGTCTGCACAGTGACCTGCCCAAAGACATGACACACGACAGGACTCACCCCCGAGACATTGCATTGTCTCACAACTGCAGTTTATTAACACTCAAGAGACCGTGGTTAATTTGTTTTATTGCTTGTGCAATTTAATTACCTTCATACATTGATCACAGTAATTAGTTTACACATTCAACTCGTCATTTTAAAGAGCAAAAGTTTCCTGTAAATGTACAATACAATCTGCATGAGAGATACATTTGATGCTATGATTTTATTCAGAGTAAATAAAAAGCAGCATATCAGCTAGACTATTTTGCTACCGACAAGATACATACCTTACTTTATGTACAATATATGGCAAATAGTATGCATTTACAGTATATATTGTAGCACATATTTAACATAGCTCTGTCACAAATGGTTTTAATGAACTAAAAATATACCTGTGCACCTTTTCTATGTTAAAAACAGCAAAGCACTCTGTGTGTTGGAGCATTTTTTTATTCAAATTGTATATTTTAGAAAATGAAGTAGGAAACAAAGTCTGGAAACACACTTATTCATATACTTTTTTTTTTCAGTACTTAATCAGACCTGGAAAATGCTAAAAACAAATTCCAGCCTTTTAGAACTATAAGAATTAAATGCTCTGCCCAGAAAAGAAAGAGCACTTCAGTTCATGTCTTACTAGTTCAACATAATATGAATACCTGCATAATGCGAAATGTTGGAAAAATGTTTCGGGCTTGTATAGCACGAAATCCAAAACCGGTTTCTAAACTAGTTTTACGTGATGAAAATGGAACGAGACCCTTAACTGTTTAGAATACGTTCAATGTTTTTGGACTATCTAAATATGATCAACGATATACAGGATCCATGACTCTATTAATATCAGTGTCTAAAATATAAATAAAGCAAAACCACGCCACTAAACCAAAAATACTCTGACGCTTTGAGGCAAACGCACTCCTCTGCTCTTCATTTTTCTGTCTCACTAACACGTGGAGCGAAACTGGCGCATTAGTTACACACGAGTGTTAGTTTATTTTCATAATAATAATTATTTTTAAATACTGGGTAACTTGGCTTGCAGTTGGAAAGTTATAGCATTGTTTTACACCTAAGGCGCATTTGTGGTTTTAAAACAAATGCATGTAATTTTTCACGATTAATGCTGCTCAACTGAGAAGTCAATCAGCCTCACAGTTGCAAAAAGCTTTGCAATTCAGAAACCATGTGTAGTTTTGTTATACGCATTTAATTTTGTCTGGGTGCTCTGGTTTGTGATTTGAAATCCTCATATTTGCTCCAACTTTACACAAAGTGAAAGCAGCAGATGCTCTGTAAGTTCTATACTGTATCCTTTGTTCAATAAAATGTATGGGTTGGCGCTGCTAGTCATTTTTGATCAGCTCCAGTCTTACCTGTGCAGGTGTGTCCGTCTCATTTATAGGTTGCCCATCGAATCTGAACCTGATTTGCCTCATTGACAGTCCCTGGAAAAGCATAAAAACATGTTATTTATGTGACAAGTTCACTTTAGTAAACCCTCTTTTAACCCCAGTCCCTTCTAGACAAGCGATACATGACAATAATGGGCAAAGTGGTCACATTTGATGACATGTTACATTAATTCAACATACATAAGTGATGCAAATAGCTGAAGAGTTTAATTACATTACAGTTTAGATAAAAGAAGGCATTAATGGTGTGCTGTAACTTTTAGGTGCAGATTGAAAGAAAAGTAGGTGTTGGGGAAAAACAAGTGCAAAGTCAGAAACTACCGCATGTTGAATAGGACATGGTATAACCACCATATAAATATAAATAAAATAGTTCCTACATAGAAGGTTTGAAATAAATCATACAGTTCTTATTGCATTTAAACAGGACAGTGGTCAAAACCCCTCTCAGAAAAAAAGAAGCCATGATCATGATGGATATTTGCAATAATCGTCTAGCTTCTATTTCACAGTGAAATAAGACGTAAAGTTGCAGATGAAAACCTTCACTTGAAAGTACCTGTGTGGCGTCAAAATAATTCAGTCAACATGGCTCGTTTGCTACTAAAACTAGATTAGCATGTGCAGAATTTAAAATAATCCTCATGAAACGTAACACAGTTCCAAAAATTATCTCCACGTGTTGATAAAATTGCAACAACTCACAAACACAGCTTTTGCTAACCCTTATCTGCAGGGAACTGATGATCTTGGCGGTCTCTTAAACACTGAAGACTTTATCTATACAAAAATATTCAGCTCCAAAGTCTGAGCAACAAATGTTTGTTTTGATGAGCAGGTAATAGCCCAGGTGAAATTACTAATAACTTTTACTGACAGTTCTAATTATCAAATGTTGGCAAAGAATAGATGTTTTGAAAATGTGGCAATGTTAATTAGTTTCACGTGAGTGTTTTTGACAAGTTGTGGGTGTGAACTTAATGCATGAAGGGAAAAAACACAAAAGAAAAAGTTTTGTTGATACCACTTTAACACTGCTCAGAAAAAAAGGTGCATAGAATAAGAACAAATCAAGTGACTGAATGTGAGAAAGGAAATGCTTCTGGGGTACTTGTGCACTGATATAAGGTCGTGCCCACCTGTCTCTCGCAGTACGCCTTCATGAGTTTGATAAGCGGTGTGTGCCTTTTGATCTTGAACTGCACGACAGACCCATCCTGACCCGCTACCTTCAAATTTATGTGTTCATTGTTTTCTGTCTTGACTCCCTCCTGAGTAAAAAAAACAAGAAAACAAACAAGAAAACAAACAGAATCAAGAGATGGATTTCTGATTTTTTTTGTTAACAGAGTAACAAATGATCTTGAAAGCAAATATATAATTTTAAAAGACCCCAAAACATTTTTTTTAATTACAAAGAGTAGCACAATTATCTGTTATAATAAATAAAATTGCTCAAGTAAAGCAAAAATCTATTCGAAGCTTGCGATTATACAGTGCCTTGAAAAAGTATTCCCCTTATCTTTCTTCATGTTGGCCAAACTAACCGTAAACTTTAAAGCGATTTAGTGAAATTTTATTTGATACACCAATATAAAAAGAGAGCACAATTGTGAAGTAAAAACTTTAGTTTTCAGATTCTTATTTTTGCAAGTAAAAATCTGAAACGTGTGGCGTGCATTTGAATTTAGCCCCTTAGAGGCACTCTTCCATAGTACTGGTATGTTTCCAGCTTTGCACATCTAGAAACTGCCATTTTTGCCCATTCTTTTGGAAAAATATCTCAAGCTCAGTCAAACTGGATGAAGTGTCTGAAGCACTGAAGCATTGTCTTACCACAGATTCTCAAATGGATTTAGGTCTGGACTTTGACAGGGCCTAACAAACAAATATGTTTTGATCTAACCTATCCCGCTGTAGCTCAGGCTGCATGTTTCGGGTCATCATCCTGCTGAAAGGAGAACATCCACCACAGTCTTTTGCATCCTTTAACAGGTTTTCTTCCAGGGATTGCCTTATATTTAGCTACATACATCTTCACATCAACTCTGACCGGTTTCTCTGTCCCCGCCGAAAAAAAATTATGCCCACAGCATGATGCTCCCACCACCATGTTTCACTGTGACGCTGGTATTTTCAGGCTGAAGCGTAGCAGTGTGGCGTTTGCTCCCACACGAGTTTTGCTGTTATACAAATCATAAAAAAAGTACATAAAAGTGATTGTGTAAGAAATATACATAGACAAAATGCCTAAAATGCTTGTAAAATAAATAATAGTATTAATACTGGTCCACAGTGATTGTGGTTTATAACATGGTGATACTATATTACTTACAGTAATAATAATAATATCAATATAAAGGAAAATTACGGTTAGATTAAAGGTTGAGTATTATTTACTGTGTAATACGTTGTTTGCACACATTGTAGTAGCTGTGTTTGCAGTTGTGCCAGACTTTTTCCATTTCCGGATGATGACCCGAACAGTGCTCCATGACACGTTTAAAGCTTTGGATATCGTTTCATAACATAACCCTGCTTTAAATTTCTCAACAACTTTATCCCTGACCTGTCTGGTGTGTTCCTTTGTCTTCATGATGCTGCTTGATCGCCTAATGTTATGTAAACTTTTAAGGCCTTTGGAAAACAGCTGGTTAAATGACACATTATTTACCAACTGGATGACTTCTGACTGCATTTTTATAATAATATCACAAAGTGTGGACAAAGTTCAAAAGATATAAAAAGCAAGAAGTAAATAGATTAAAACAAACCATGTGATTCTTCTGGTCTGTACAATGCATGTGTTAAAACAAAGATCTTCTCTGGTGCATCCTAAACTTTTAACCAGAAAAAGTGATCATCAAATAGATGTTCTGCTTCTTTAAACATCTCCCCTCAGAAACACACTGACATGAACCATGAACTGAGGTCGACACCAGCTGGTCTGTGATCAGGACAGAAAAAAGAAAAAAAAAAAACTGCGCGCGTGCGGATGCGCGTTCACAAACCTTCCGGTTTATCAAAGTAGCTGATAGTTGAATTGTATCACGCAACTTTTAAAAACGCCAGAACGCATAAAGCAGAGCTGTGTATGTCTTCTTTGAGATCCTCTGTCACGGAGCCGGTCAAACATCCCAGTATACACAATGGAGGCACTCACCTTTGGTTTTTCATCAGCCATGGTCACTCTTTTGGCGCTTCTCTACGCTGCCACACAAAGACTACGAGTGCGCGCACGTACTCGTGCCATTTTAAATATTTTGGCAAACGTGCGCGGCCCTGTATCGGTGCGCGTCCACCCACCCAGCTGTTCATTGGCTACGAGCGGTCACGAGGTTTGAAGCGCGGTCTGGGCATGGGCGGGAGAATCCCGCATGCGCGTTACTGAGGCATTCAACTCCACATGCACGCGCGCAGCGTTGTTTTCGCTTTGTCTTCTGGTTTATTCGCGCACACAGATCAAAATACGCGGTTCATTACTCAGTTGACCACACATTTGTGTTGCACATTTCAGTCGGCGTCATCATGCAGTGACAACCGATCTGGGAAAGCAAAAGAGGAGCATGGTTGTTCTGGTTCGAACGTTGTGTCCCAGTGGCCATCTTGTTTTCACTGAAGACAGACTCCAAGTCATTTATCAATGTGATTTAATGGTAAAACTCATACGCGCTCAGATTGGTCCGATTTAAGTGAGCATATTTTCGTGATTGTTTAGCATGCAGACGCAGACCTTAGAATAAGTCACAATTTCTGATTTAAAATGTTAAAGCTAAACCTGACTCATCAGAACTTTAATGGTTTCATTATTCGTGCAATTTCAAAAATAATATAGTTGCACATAATTTATTTTCTACGACACGGATGATTTATTTCGGTAAAACTGGTCGACCGAAAAATCAGGCATTGAAAAGGACAGCCCTTTATGACGCATGCGCAACAGCGGCCTTCCAGTGAAAAGACAGAGGCGCGTAATAAGGAGCACAGTGCACATGTGTTTAAAGGCATGTTTTTAGGTGAATAGTTTATAGTTTGGATTTGTTTTCTGTCGATACCATTGTTCCCCAATGGAGGAAGTTGATGTTGAGCCGGCGGTAACTGTAAGTTTTTTTTATTTGTCATATTTCTCTCCCAAGAAACGCCGGATAAAACCCACTGCTAACTTGCTAGGTGTAATCGTAGCAACCTGTTTTAAAATAATCAAGTCAATAATTATGTGTTCGTTAAATAACGCACACATTTTTAGTTGTTAATTGAAATGCAAAGGTTTAAACATATTAAAAATAGTTGAAAGTGCATACAATTTGACCCAAAGTAGATGTTTTACTTAAGTGTCAACAGAGTAAAAGAATTTAAACTTTTAAAGTGAAAATGGAGCTACATTCATTAATTTAGGACATCATGAATATGCAGAAAATTAACAATTTAAATCCAGTTTGTAAACATTCAGAAGTGAATGATTGGCTATATATTGTTATAATGTTGCTGGTAGTAAAATATGATTATAACTATTTTGTATATGGAACAGGTTTAGTAAAAGTTTTGTTTTGTAATTTTGAGCACCTGTTAACTAATATCAACATAAAGATATTTGGGTGTGTTTTTGAAATGCAGTATATTCCTGGAATCAGACCTGGAAATCACATGGGCTTTGCATGGGGTCCTGGTGATATCCTTGTGTATGAGACTCTATACAAAGCATCAGGTAGGTGTTTATAAAAATCCAAGCTCATCTTTAGGTTTTAAACGTTTTGCCCTTATTGTTTGTCTTAACCATCTGTGGTTCTGTGTTTCAGGAGCTAAAGGATCAGGTTGTGCTTTCATTCACATGGTCAGGAAAGATGAGGACATATATTCTCCTATTTTACGCAAACTGTTTAATGAGTCCCATCACATCTTTGTTGGGCTGCAGGCGATTAAAGAGGATCTCCCGAGCAAGAGCAAGAAACCACAGTAAGACTACTCAAAAGTTTATTTATTTATTCATTTCCATTTTATTAGCCTGACTCTTGTAAAAACAAGCATGAGGGGATTATATAATCTCTCTATCTTGTTTCACAGATTTGTCAGCATCAGCAGAAACTATAGGTCTGTAATTCGAGCCTGTATGGAAGAGCTTCAACAGGTTGCAGGTTAGTTGTTTTAACAATAAAAACCTTAGTTTTTTGTTCATATTTACTCGAGACTAATCATTTTCTCTTTTGTACAGTTTCAACAAAAGAGACAGAGATGTGCACACAGTATGGGAATCAGGTGTGCACTGTATTTGGCAATAAAACAGTCTGAAAATTAGATCTCAGTTAATATAGCAGAAATATTTATGATTTGAAGCTCTTAAATATGTATATTTCTTTTTTCAAGTCAATCAAAATGTCCTATTGGCTATAAAGGTTGTTTTTTTTCTTGAGCAAGTTCAGGCTTTTTCTTTATTTTCTCATTAATTTCAGGCGCATCTCAAAAAAACTAGAATATTGAGAAAAAGCCAAAGATTTTTGGCAGTTATTTCAGAAAGTGAAACTCGTATATTATAGATTTATTACCCATATAGTGAAATATTTCAATCCTTTATTTCTTGTCATTTTGATGATTATGGCTTACAAATAATGAAAAACCAAAACACAGTGTTTCAGAAAATTAGATTGTTGTGAAGAGGTCCAATATTGTAAACTCCTGTTGTCACATTCTAATTAGCTAATAGCTACAAATGTCTTTCCTCAAGTTGAGCCACTCCTGAACCAGAGACGTCAGAAGCGTCTTACCTGCTGAAGAGAAAAAGAACTGGACTGTTCCTCAGTGGTCCATTGTCCTCTTTTCAGATGAAAGTACATTTTGCAGGTCATTTAGAAATCAAGGTCCCTCTGGAGGAAGAGTGGAGAGGCCCAGAGTTCACGTTGCTTGAAGTCCAGTGTGATGTTTCCACAGTCAGTGATGGTTTGGGTCCACTGTGTTTTCTGAAATCCACAGTCAAAGCAAAATCATTTAGGACATTTTAGAGACGTCATGCTTCCTTCTGCTGACGAGCTTTATGTAGATGCTGATTTAATTTTCCAGCAGGACTTGGTTCTTGCCCACACTGAGAAAGTTACCAAAAGCTGGATGTGGAATATTCTAATTGTCAGAGAATTTTTGGTCAAATATTAGAGATGTTTTTATTACTATGGCTGAAAACAAGAAGCCCAAGAAAACCATCTCTCAAGACACTGTCTTATCTCTGCCCATGAACCATATGTTTGGGTTATTGGAGAGCACTGGGTGAGAAGGTTGCAGCTGGCTCCAAGGACACCTTCTGAGCTCTGAACTCAGCAGAACTGATAAGGATATCGAGAAGGCAGCTCAGGGCAGATTCTTGTGGCTGGTATTCATGTATGTACATTTATGTATATTTATGTAACCTGTCTTGAAATTCTGTACTTGCACGTAAAATCCCAGTTAAAAATCGGCTGTCCAGTGTGGTACTTTTTGGGTAAACGGCATAAGCGAGTGTATTTTTCTCCCAACATTAATTTTCTGAGAGCCTGAATTTAGTTTTTTCATTATCTGTAAGCCAAAATCATCAACATACAAGAAATAAAGGCTTGAAATATTTTTACTGTGTATGTAATACAACCAGGTTCTTTGTTTAAAACCGGTCTCTTGTCAATGAGTCCTCGTGACTCAGTGAGACTAACCTGTGTAAATAAAGGTTAAATGAATACGAGTTTCACTTTCTGAAATGACTGACATAAAAACTCACAATATTCTAACTTTTTCAGATGCGCCTGTACTTTGGTAAAAACTAAAAACTTCCTCTCCTATCTGTCTGTATTCTAAAGATAAAATGAAACTTGCTTGATACCATTTTCTTAACATTCATCTCCCTGGTTTTGTCACAGGTCTCTATTCTCTTGGCCATAGAACTGATCTGGAATCTGTGTGAAGTGCTTTTCATCGATGCTGCTCCTGGTCAGAATCAGATTTTTGCGATTAGTTTAATTTCTTTCAATGCAGAATATGCCATTTAATTTGAATTAGAAGATGTGAAAACCTTAAAAGCAATGATTTAACATGTCTGTGTGTTCTCAGCCGGCTCTCTCCTGCTCCACCTTCTGGACTGGGTGAGGTTACACAAAGCGGATGTGGATGAGAAAGCCAAGCATGTGCTGCAAAGTGACAGCCCTGTTGAGCACAATGACTACTGGGATGTGGTATGTGCTTTATAAGTACTCTTATCTGTTTTTCATGATTGCTGCATAATAATAATAATTTTGAGAAAATGGCTTCTTTTTTTTGAACTCTCAGGCTATTTCCCTCAGTGTTTTTCCCAGACTTAGACTGCGATGGGAGGTCTCGCTCATCACATGTTTTGTGTGTGCAGGTGGTGAGCTACGTCCTGCAGGGAAGGTTAGAAGAAGCCAGACAGATGCTGGTGAAACAGGCATCACTGCAGCCTGCATCCAGAAACATGTACAAGCTGATGGATAACTTGCTCAGCAAGATGCCCTTCTACAATGTATGTATGCTTTTAGTTTAAATCATAACTGCGGGCTATAGGGGTAGCAGGGTTGCTTCACTTCAAAACAGGTTGCTGGTTCAAATCTTGGCTTAGGCTTCTCTGTTTGAAGTTTCTTTCCTTTAAATATGTGAAAGTTTTCTATTGATGGTGTGTTCTACCTTTTTTAATGAACAAAAACTCATCAGTCATTTAAGAAAAAAATGAGCTAAATGCAAAAGTAGTGCATAAAAAATTAAAAGTACAATTTGAAATTCTAAAATAGCTGATTTGACTAAAAATCGCACTTTTGCTGCATTGGTGTGGTGTTTTTATCGACAGCAGTCCACTGTATGCGTTTGCACTTATGTATTGTGTCTTGATGTATAATGAGGGTGTACACACTCTCTAACGTGACTGTCAGGCGCTGAAAGCCTCAAACAAAGGGCCTGGTTTAAGTTTTTTGAGCTTTTGGTGATTTCAGATGCCCAAGTGTGCACGAATGTTTTTGTCCCCCACTGCGAAGTGAAAAGGGGAATTGGAAATACCTTCCGTCTGTTCGTCCATTAATGTTGTGACTGCAATAGCTTGATAAATAAGTGAGGTACCGACTTCCATTTTGCTGTGTGAGTGCAGCTAGGCATCAGAAAGGTTCCTTGCGAAAACTGAGTTGCCACGTCAAAGGTCAAGATGGCTGCCGCCATATATGTAAACTTGTGAGCTGGATAACTTAAAAAATAAGCAACGAGCCAACTTTCTTTTTGTTGTGTGGCTGCATCTAGGCTTAAGCAAGGGTCCTGTTGTAAACTGGGTTGCCAAGTCAAAATCCAAGATGGCTACCACCATGTGTGTGCATGTGTAAACTAGCCACCCCTATCATTTTATGATGGGACGGACAGTAAAACCAGTTGAATAGCTTACACCAACAACATTAAGGTTTACTTGGATTCCCTTTTCAATTCCATTCCAGAAAAACACTCATCTCAGAAACAACAAACATTTACCATTCAAATCCCTCATCAACGAGGGAGATAGGTGTACCATTTATTATTTAAAAATATCCTTTAAATGCATTGTGCTTCAATCTTTCTGCAAGACTATGAAGGTTTTTTTTTCTAACTTCATCTGTCTTTTTAGATCAGCAAAGTTTTTAATTGTACTATTTTGCACAAATAAACCAAATGTCAGTCAGCCAACTTACATTAACTTCTTCATGATGTTCTTTCAGCCTGGTGGCACTCAAACGCTAACAGAGTTTGATGTGAAGTGGAGGAACTGGCACGAGGAGGTGGACCGTTGTCTGAAGGACAACTCGTTTGCAAGTAACCGGCACCTGGAGCTCATCTGTAAGGTCAGTGACCTCAGGCCAACATCAGGCCTTTTAAGAACAACGTCAGTATGTTGTAAGGTGTCAGCACTGTTCCACTGTGATGTCGTGTGAGTCGTTCGTTTGTTTGTTCTCGCTTTCAGCTATTAATCTAACATTTTAAGCCTTTTCTCTTCTGCTTGTTCATTTAATCTTAGATCATTCTGGGTGACGAAGACACTTTACTGGAGCACAAGGAGCTGCTCAGCACCTGGTATCACTTCCTTGTCACGAGACTGCTCTACTGCCACCCCACAGTGAAACCCACCGAGTTGCATTTCTATGCACAGGTACGCTGCAGTCTGCACTGCTCAGCATTACAACTCACTGCTGCTGTGTTCCTGTTTCACTTCACCTGTGTGGTTGCTTACACTGCAGTCATGCATGACAATGTTTCTGGACTCGGGCGTGCCAGAACCTTTAGACAACATCCTCCTAGCTGCCTTTGAGTTTGACATTCATCAAGTCATCAAGGACTGCAGGTAACCCAATGGGATTACTTCAGAAATACTCTGCACATTTGTAGTACTTAACAAGGCACATACAGTACTTGTGCAGTATTTGAAGTTTTTCATTGTCCCCTCAGCATTGCTCTTAACAACTGGTGGTTTGTGGCTCATTTAACGGACCTGCTGGATCACTGCAAACTCCTTCAGTCTCATAATCTGCAGTAAGGCTGCTTCTGAGTTGTTTTAAAACTGAAGATAAGGTTACATACTTTAACCTGATGTTTCTGTATGTTATTTGTGCAGCTTTGGATCCAACTTGAGAGAGTTTCTGCTGTTGGAATATGCTGCTGGATTATTCACTCACCACAGGTAAGCTTTTCTTAAAGTTCATTATGTTAATTAGACCTTACAGTGATGCGTTTACATCAGTTTGATAAACATGTGACTTCCAGTGTTTATTCACGACAGTTCACATCTGCACAACACTTTAAGTTCAAGTTGGTTTATTGTCATTTCACCACTTGTGGTATATGAGGTGGAATGGAATTATGTACACAGGGTCCCAGTTACATCCAACAATAGCAACAATATAAAATGTAAAAAGAAACAGTAAATATCTGAGATATATTCTAAACACTAATGATTAATTTCAGCTTCAGTCAGTGATGCACACACACAACTTCGCTGTGTGTGTTTTTTACATTAAACTTGCAGATGTGGGATGCTGTCTATCATGGTGCACTAAGATTCATAACTGGTTGTAAATACCATACCATCACTGCACTCTGTACTCACTGGTCAGAGTTGGTCATCATGATGCACACGTAGACTCTCACACTGGTTCTTCACTGGTTTCTTTCATTGGTTCTTCATCTATGAATCCCTCCTTGGTCTGCTACCTTCTTGTATCTCCTCCCACTTGTCACGTCGTCAGTGCAGTTACAGTGTGCGCTCTCAAGACATCATTACCTGCAGCGATCCCTCAGTGCAGACGGGACTCATCAAAAATATATTTTCTTCCTCAGAACCTGGAACACCTTGCAACAAGATCTGAAGCTGTCCACTTTGATTTCTTTAAGGGATTTTAAACAATTGATAAGGTCACTAGGAAAATCTTAACATGTTAGATTTAATATAATAATAGTCATAACATGTTCTTGTTTTTAGTATTTACCTTGTTTTATAAGGCACTTTCATTTTATTGTTTTTAAAACACTGTTTGTACAGTAGTCCCTCGTTTATTGTGGGAGATTCGTACCCTGAAGACCCGCGATTTGTGAAAAACCGTGAAGTAGGAATAGTAGTAAGTAGTTGTTTATTTTAGTATTTTTATATATAGATATTAAGGTGTTTTAAACCCTTCCCACACTCTTGCAATATTCTAAACAATGTTTCTAAACGCTCTAAAAGAGCAGAGTGTCATGATTTCCCTCTCTGTGCCTCGCTGCTCTCAGCCGCCTGCAAGGCAAGCGCTCTTGGCCACGCCCATTTCTCCACTCTGCACGCAGATCAGCTGCAGGAGGAAGTTTATCCTGCAGTATGGGCTGCACAGAGGTGCAGGAGGTGCTAAATAATTTAAAGTAATTTATTTTAAATAAAAATTACATGCTGATCGTGAGGCTCATCCATCAATCAGCCAGTTGTGTGTCATGCCCAACCTTATTTTGAAAAACAGCGATAGAGCGAATCCGTGATAAACAAACCGCGAAGTAGCGAGGGGCTACTTTAATTGCTTTTATTGTTGTATACACTATATCAGGGCTATTCAATCTGGCCCACTTCATTAAAATTTTTTATTTTTTTAAATTAATTTTTTGGTTTTGGGTTTGTTTTTGTTTTTTTTAATTGCTTTTATGATTCAATACAATAAAATAAACAAATTTAAATTCTAAACTTTGGTTTATTTACACAATGATTTTAATCGCTGGATGTCCGGCCCCCGAGCTGTTGGCTTTCAGAAACTGTGCCCCCCTGAGCAGTTTAGTTGAGTAGCTCTGCTCTATTTGTTGTCTGTCTAAAACAAGTCTCTCTTGAAAATGAGTCCTCGTGACTCGGTGAGACTACCTGTTTAAATAAAGATTAAATAAAATAAAAATAAACTGGTTTAGTGGACATTTTTTTTCAAGAAAACACGAGTAAGGGATTATTTAACTGATTGCTACATACGATATATCAGAAGAAAATAAATATAAGGTAGTAGTAGCAAAATAGTGTTTATTCGTATGAAATATTTGTAACTCACGTAAAATTAACGCTGTAAATTAACGTGATCAAAAAATGTTTTATAGAGCATTGAAATGTAAAACAGTATCAATGTTTCACAACATGAGTTGTGTTCATTATAATTTCAACTTCCTAACTCTGTTTTTGTGTGTTTAGTCTCTGGCAGTGCGCTGTGGATTACTTCGATCACTGTCCTGAATTTGGACGCGTCTATCTTGAGCTGCAGATCGAGCGTGTACCTTTGGACACGGAGCGCAAAGCGCTCAAAGTGCTCCGAATTTGCGAGGAGAGGCAAATGTCAGAGCAAGGTAGAAACTATTTGTTCTTGTTTTGTTTTCACCTTTAGCACACAAATAAAGGCACAAAGGTCAAGTCTTTGTGCCGTTTAGTCCTAAAAATGTGGATTGTTTTGTTTTGTTTTTCTCCCTAAGTGCGGAGTATCTGTAAGATCATGGCCATGCGGGCTTTAAGGAACAACAGACTGGGTTCTGCTCTCTCCTGGAGCATCAGAGCTAAAGATGCTGCCTTCGCAACCCTCATTTCAGAGAGGTTAGTGCCTATAAATGTGTACTTACCTAAAAATCTGCAGACACAGAGGATATTTCTTTATATGTCAACATTATGTTTTTCCATAAACATGCAAGTTTTAGTCCTATGTGAAAGTGCTTTTCTTCATTATGGACTCTTATTTCTGCTCCATCACACGGTTAATGCTTTGGCAATAATGAATATTATTAAAATCATATGTTTACCTTTTACATAACAGTGTAAAACATTTAACAGATCTTGTTCTCTGAGATGCATTACAGCCTAGAGGTTGCCCCGTTTCCAAACAATCTTAGAGAATACTCTCCGTGTTTCTGTGTTAAGGTTTTTGCAGGATTATTGCGCCAAAGGGACCTTCTCCGATCTGGATCTGATTGACAACTTGGGTCCAGCGATGCTGCTCAGCGACAGGCTCACTTTCCTTGGTATGAACGGGAAAATCCCGGACACACACACACACGCACTGCAGTATTAGGAGCACAGTCCTCCCTGTGTGTGACGAGTTCAACCCAAACACGAAGTGACAGGACATTCAGTGAGCAGATGTGGTCTAAGACAGCTTCCCTCTTATTTTTCAGCGGTCATATGAGACTCAGACAGAAACAGCTGTGCTGTGCTCCGTGCAACAGCATGTGATGAGTATTACTGAGAGATAAACCCTTTATCATTTATTTGTCACCCTAAATGTCTGCTTACTAGAGGGAGTGGGGGTGCAGAGGTTAGATGAGGTGAGCCTGTGATTGGGAGGTTGCCGGTTCAAATCTCCGGACCGACGGCAAAAATGTGGGTAGCAGAGTGTCCGCGGGGTCTTGAAAGTTATTAAAAGTTGATAAATCAAATTTGGGAAAATTAAGGGTCTTGAAAAGTATTAAAAAGTCTTGAAAGCGATTTGATGAGGTATTATTTTTTTTGCTGTTATTCTAGCTTTAAATAATTTAACAGCAAAAAGTATGTATGACTAATATTTGTTTTCCTCACCGCGGAGGATTCGGAAACTGCTTCGCACAAATTTAGAGTGTCAGGTTACAACAGCCTTAACGGCTAGGCCTATCTTGTGCGCATGCGCGGCTGCTTTGAGTCTGTGTGTTCAAGTAAGTTGCCGCGAGACCGTGAGAACAATGGGTAAATGCAAGTTTTCGGACTCCTGGTTGGAGATGCCTGATTTTCAAGAATGGCTGAGGCCTGTCGCCGAGAATAACCGCGAGGCTTATTGTACATTTTGTAAAAAAAAGATGAGCGTAGCCTCGATGGGCATAAACGCCTTGAAGTCCCATATGACTGGAGCTAGCCACAAAAGTGCAGCTAGCCGCAAAACGCAGATGTCTATCAGCAGTGCAGCAGGCCACAGTGGAGCGTGGATTCTCAGTTAACAAGCAGGTCGAAACCTGCAACATACACGAAGAGACGATGGAGGCTCTGAGGTTGATCTGCGACAAGGTCAGTGTCTGTGGGGGTGTTCTGCAGGTACCTCTGACCAAGGAGCTGCTGGCTTCTGTTGCCTCTGCAAGGTCAAAGTACAGGATTTACCTGGAACAGCAACGAAAGAAGAAAGAAACTTCCACACAGAGCCTTAAGAGGAAAGCAGCTGGAGCTGAGTTAGAAGAGCTGAAAAAAAAGAGAAAACTTCTACAAGAGGTGTGCGATTCTCTGCAAAAAGATGCAGATCAGTTGGCAGAGCAGGCAGAGGGAAAGTCAGGTTCTTTAATGGCCCAACTGATCACCAAGTCCAATGTCTTGAGAAGGAGACGTAAAGAAAAACTCAGTGAGCTGGTGCAAACTGAAGAGTTGCTGGAATGCAAAGCAACTGCACTGAGGCACATGTAATGATTACTGTGTTTATTTCTTATTCGCCATTGTTCAACCAAGTTACTTTAAAATAACTACGAGTCTTGTTGTAACCTAAGCTATATTTTCTTAAACCTAGTCGTGGTTCAGTTTCTTCTTTTGAATTTTTTTCTATCCACTGTATCTCAGTTCTGTTGTAGGTTTGAGATTCACGGATTTAATTAAAAACAACAGCAGTTTTGTAAATCAAAGATTTGTTGCTTAATAAAACAAAGTGACGATAAGGTCTTGAATTTATTTTGGAAGGTCTTGAAAAAGTCTTGAAAAGGTATTGAAATTAACTTCATTATTCCTGCATATACCCTGGGTAGGAAAGGTGATGCACCCACTCCTGCCTCCACCCTCATTTACCCCACTCTGGGCCCTTGAGCAAGGCCCTTGACTCTCTAGTTCCTCCCCAGGCTGCCTGCGATGGGAAAAATGCAGAGAATTAAATAATATGGATTAAAAACACAAAGTTTGTTTTCTCAGTCATCCAGGTATATAACAACAGCTTTGTTGTTATATACCTGGATGACTGAGAAAACAAACTTTGTGTTTTTGAAACCATTAGTGAAAAGGCCAGACTTCAGGGGTATCTGAGGCAGGCTTGAAACACAAGAGTCAGGGTGGCTTCTGGGTAATACCAGATGTCTAGGCCTCAGACTGACGAAGCCTCTTGGATGAGGGGCGAAACGTTTCTTTTTAACAAAAAAAACGAAGTCCAGATGACATGATTCAACCTTTTTTGTTAATATGGATTAAAGTTCTCCGCTCGCTGCAACGTTTTCACGTCATCTTGAACGTGGCCAGGATGGATTTCCATCATCTGCAGAAGGAGTGGGGGGGAAAAAAAACATGTTTTGTTGTGTCGTCTTGTTAAAGCTGTCCAATCGAATGATGATACTGACGCTGCTTTCAACCAGTAAAGAGAACCAGAGCCACAGTTTGACCCAGTCAGAGCAGTGTGGGTCCTGCTGTCTGGTTCATGGTGAGCCTGGGTGTGAGCAGCAGAGAGAAACTGCAGGTGAAAGCTCACCTGCTGTAAACCACGGAGGACAACCCCGATACCCTAACAGAACCGCCCGTCCCTTCATTCAGTCCAATTCAAAGTTTCTTTATATACAGGTCCTTCTAAAAAAATTAGCATATTGTGATAAAGGTCATTATTTTCCATAATGTAATGATAAAAATGAAACTTTCATATATTTCAGATCCATTGCATACCAACTGAAATATTTCAGGTCTTTAATTGTTTTAATACTGATGATTATGGCATACAGCTCATGAAAACCCAAAATGCCTGTCCCAAAAAATTAGCATATTTCATCCCACCAATGAAAGACACGTGTTTTTAATACAAAAAACGCCAACCTTCAAATAATCATGTTCAGTTATGCACTCAATACTTGGTCGGGAATCCTTTTGCATGAATGACTGCTTCAATGCGGCATGGCATGGAGGCAATCAGCCTGTGGCACAGCTGAGGTGTTATGGAGGCCCAGGATGCTTCGATAGCGGCCTTAAGCTCATCCAGAGTGTTGGGTCTTGCGTCTCTCAACTTTCTCTTCACAATATCCCACAGGTTCTCTATGGGGTTCAAGTCAGGAGAGTTGGCAGGCCAATTGAGCACAGTAATACCATGGTCAGTAAACCATTTACCAGTGGTTTTGGCACTGTGAGCAGGTGCCAGGTCGTGCTGAAAAATGAAATCTTCATCTCCATAAAGCTTTTCAGCAGATGGAAGCATGAAGTGCTCCAAAATCTCCTGATAGCTAGCTGCATTGACCCTGCCCTTGATAAAACACAGTGGACCAACACCAGCAGCTGACATGACACCCCAGTGAATGTGGAAACTTGACACTGGACCTCAAGCAATGTGGATTCTGTGTCTCCTCTCTTCCTCCAGACTCTGGGACCTTGATTTCCAAAGGAAATGCAAAATTTACTGTAATCAGAGAACATAACTTTGGACCACTCAGCAGCAGTCCCAGGCGAGATACTTCTGACGCAGTCTCTTGTTCAAAAGTGGCTTGACCTGGGGAATGTGGCACCTGTAGCCCATTTCCTGCACACGCCTGTGCACGGTGGCTCTGGATGTTTCTACTCCAGACTCAGTCCACTGCTTCCGCAGGTCCCCCAAGGTCTGGAATCGGCCCTTCTCCACAATCCTCCTCAGGGTCCGGTCACCTCTTCTCGTTGTGCAGCGTTTTCTGCCACACTTTTCCCTTCCCACAGACTTCCCACTGAGGTGCCTTGATACAGCACTCTGGGAACAGCCTATTCGTTCAGCAATTTCTTTCTGTGTCTTACCCTCTTGCTTGAGGGTGTCAATGATGGCCTTCTGGACAGCAGTCAGGTCGGCAGTCTTACCCATGATTGCAGTTTTGAGTAATGAACAAGGCTGGGAGTTTTTAAAAGCCTCAGGAATCTTTTGCAGGTGTTTAGAGTTACGTCGTTGATTCAGATGGTTAGGTTAATAGCTTGTTTAGAGAACCTTTTCATGATATGCTATTTTTTGGGACAGGCATTTTGGGTTTTCATGAGCTGTATGTCATAATCATCAGTATTAAAACAATTAAAGACCTGAAATATTTCAGTTGGTGTGCAATGAATCTGAAATATATGAAAGTTTCATTTTTATCATTACATTATGGAAAATAATGACCTTTATCACAATATGCTAATTTTTTTAGAAGGACCTGTAGCACATTTAAAAACAACCACAGCTGACCAAAGTGCTTCACAAGAATAAAACATTGTGGATAAAAATATGATAAAATAAATAAAATAGAGTTTAATAAAAATAAAAGTATGATAAAAGTTGCAGTAAAATACCAATAAAATATAAAACCAAGACAAACTGTCATGAAGGGGATGACATAATAAATTATTAAATGTGCACGTGTTGAACGTGTGTCCGCCTGTGACCAATTCACTGCAGCTGGGAGAGATACCTGAACTGGTACGCCATCACCCACTCCACCCGCTCCCCACCCCGCCCTCCCCGATACTTTTGTATCTAAAGTCTAACTTGTATTAAACGTTAATGTTTGCAGAGCACCGTCATCATACAGATGTTGGATGATGAGTTACAACAACATTTAATGGGATTAATAAAGTTTTGTTTAATTGAATTGTACCTCCCTGTCTGAACTGTAGAAAGACTCCTACCTCGCTCACATTTCCAGCTGTGACTCTGCATCTTCAGCAGAAAATCTCCTGCCATGAAGCACATATAAAAAAGCAACCACAGAACCCCCTTCCCCCGCTAAATTTTCACTTTCCATATTTTCTCTGAATTTCTTAGTGCTCATGTGTGGAAAATGGCTTTACATTGTTTAGAATGTGAGCATACCAGTTTACTTTGCACTGTTGTTCATGGTCTAAACATGTGTTTAGGGAAGTACCGCGAGTTCCACAAACTGTACGGAGAGAAGCGTTTCAGGGAGGCCGCTAAGCTGCTCCTCTCCCTCATGACAGCGAAGATTGCTCCCCGAAGCTTCTGGATGACGCTGCTGACCGATGCTCTGCCACTGCTGGAGCAGAAGGAGGTCAGTGTGTTTTAGTTTCCTCTTCATTCATTATCAAAGCAAACCGAGTATAGACGGGCTGCTATATTAAGTTTAACTGTTTGGTTTAGAATGATTTGTTGCAGGAACAATAGAGAACTGTAAAAAGTTATTATTATTATTATTATTATTATTATTATTATTATTTTTTTTTTTTTTTCAGTTTTAATTATTATGTAATGTTTTTGGTCAAAATTGTGGTGCTTTATGCACTTAATTTGACACACAAATAATGTTGAGTAAAATTCACAGCCAACAACTGGCAAATTAATGTTTGGCAAGTTTGATAAAAATGACAAACTGATAAATAATCTCAAAATATTCCATATATTCTGTTTTTATTAAATAGGATTGTATTTCCATTTAAATGAGCCATTGTTGAAGATAAAATCTATAGTTGTAAGAAATGGGTAGTATTCAGAACAAAATAACCTGCGTTGGGTAACCACTAGGTGTAAAAAAAAAAACTTCAGACTTTAATCCATGTTTCTGTCAAATGGGTCATTTCAGATGAACTCGGCTTCTAATCTGGATTCAAAGATGTGATAAAATTCCATCGCATGAATAAAAATGGACTCTTGATACATTTGGGTACAATAATACAGATTCAATGTTTAAATTTGTGCAGGGCTTAATTTGTACACCAATCAATGCCGGAATGTAAATAGTGGGTGGGCTTGGGGGGGGGGGGTTGTCTGGGGTTCCTCCCCCAGAAAATTTAGAAAAAAAAATAGATGTATTTTCCTGCATTTAATGGTTGTTAACACATTTACCTACATTTGTAAACACTCCGTTTCTGTCCCCCTCCCCCTTACTTGAGGGTTCCGAGCTGACTCTTCTCCACTGAATTCACTGTCCTGTTGTCTGACTCCACACGTGAAACCTCCAGGCGCCTCCGTCTGTTCATGGCTGCTGCCTGTGTACGACTGCCTGGTTAGGTCATTCAGCACTCGCCCCCACCACTCTTTTAGGGGCGGAGACATTTTTAAGGGTAGAAGCAGAAATTCTTACTTGAAGCGGCAGCTCATTTGTGATATTAATAAGCCGTAAGTGGCTGTTGTGTTTAAAATTAGTGTTTATCTAATTATTTTCAGTTTACTGATCCAATATAAGTTTTATTCTTTCCAGACAGTCATATTTGTTCATAACTTTATTATTAGTAAGCCTGAGAGATACCGGATCCAAACAAACAGTTACCAGAACACACCCTGTCAAAATGAGAGAGTTCCCGGATCCTGTTCCGGCATGATCCAGCTCAAATTAAGCCCTGCATTTATGGCTTTAATCTAGGTTCTGTTTAATATATAGATGTACTGAGCAGGTTCTTAAAACTGAAATATTTCCCTGCTGCTTTGATTCCATTGATTTATTTTTATAATTGCATTTGTTTCTTTAATGGTGCTCTTATTGGTGTACTGATATACTTGATGTACATTGTATCTAATCAGATGGTTTTTATTTGCATCTCACTGTTGTGTTAAATAAAATTACTTAAATTCTTCTTCTCAGGTGATCTTCTCCGCAGACCAAACTTATGAGTTGATGTTCTGCTTGGAGGAGCTCACCTCCTCTCTGAACGCTGCAGCTCCTGGAACAGACCGACCCATGCAGGTAAACATCCTCATTAAGTCGAGCATCCGGCTTTGTTTGGTTGTTTTTTTTCAATGTGTAGACGAGTTAAAATCTCAGCTTATAATAGTTTAAAACAGTAAACAGCGCCTACAATGTGTTCTGCGTTTTATTCACGGGTGTCTTGTGTTTTCAGGAGGACGACATCGAGGTGACCAAGGTGGAGCTGCTGAGACTCGCTCTGGCCAGAAATTTGGCTTCAGCCATCGTCAAAGAGGGAACAATAGAAACATGAGGGGGGTTGATCATTAAAAGAAAGTTATGAGCTTTTTTTTTTTGTACTGTATATAAAGCGACGTCATCAAAGTGTACTTTTTGATAATAAAATACTTTTCATTCTCTTCATTGAGATCATATTTATACCATTAAGAGTAACTTCTCAACAGATGTTCACAAAAATAAATTAAGCTGAAAACAAGCACATCACAAATTATTAAACCTTTTATTTATATAGTTAGTTCCGACTGAGCCTCATTTACAAGAGACCTGTTAAGAGACATGTCCACATAACTTGCCTTACAAGAAAAAGCAAGTACTTTATTACACAGTGCACATTAGACACGTCTTTACATCCAAGTAACATTCGAGGAAACTGGATTGGAAATTTTCAGATCCTTTTCGTTGTAAATGTCATATTTTATATAAAGTCATACTTATTGGTATGTTAATGTGATGTTTTTCTTTTCTTACAAGTCAAAGAAATCATAATTTACTGAAGTATTTCAAACCTTCCAATATAGCAGAATTTAATCAAATGTATTCAGTTTGGATGAGGACACATTTATCTACAAAACACAAAAGTGTCAGGACAAAACCAACACCCGGAGCCTTGTAGTCTGTAAATATAACCGGTGAGGGTATAAAAACATTTAGTTTTCAAAATGCCGGACATCCAATCTGAGTTACCCAAAGATACAAACGGATCTGAATGCTGCTCATTTTGCGTCCCACTAATGACTTGGTTACTAAGTGGTGAAAATATTCTGTAAACATGAAAACAGTAAAAATGACAAATCATTTCAGTAACTTGTGTAAGGCCATAGAGTGAACAGAATACTAAAAACAGTACAGCAGCACACCGTTCCTTTGCTCCACACTTCAAAGTAAAACCTCGTATTTGGTTCAACAGTCGTTTGAAGTGAGGTTCTGTGGAGAAGTTATAAACATTTAACATCTTACCTGTTGTAGACAGCTCTTCAAAAAACCTCAGTTTAAAGAACAGTGCTCCCTCACACCTATTGCGGGAGTTACGTTGAGACCTGCGCGGTACGTGAAAATACGCCAAGCAGCGGCTTTTTCAAGCGGCTGAGTGGTTAGCGCAGTTGTCATCCAGTGCAAGAGATGGGGGTTCGAATCCACCAGTAGTCACATGTCAAAGTGTCCATGGGCAAAACGTTGAACCCCTCATTGCCTTCGATGCGTGTCCCGTCGGTGATAAAGCTCTGATTCATTCAATCTTTATTTAAACAGGTTAGTTACAATGATTAGTCTCTTTAGAATGATTTGTTCAATTAGATTTGTGTAGATTTAGTAGGGTGCTGTGTGAATGTGTAAATGAGGACAGATTATAGTGTAAAGCGCTTTGAGTGTCTTGATAAGATAGAAAGGTGCTATATAAGTACAGTCCATTTATATTTTATTATTTATATAGGTTTAAGGCTTTATTTACCCTTCCCACTCCTACAAACCTTTCCCACTTGCTTATAAACACATATGCTCTTAAACACTTGGGTGATGATGATGATACAATGCTGCACAGCACACTATACATATATAT